GCAATACCATCGGACGCGATTAAAATGTTTGATACCCTTCTAAAAGGGACGATAAAAACATCAGGGATACACGAGAGAGGAGGATGAACTGCTTTATCGCCGATAGATCTGTAATTTGCTATTACTCGATTAATTCGTAACGTCCCATTCACGTCATCGATCGTTCCGCCATCTTTGAGGATTCGGTCTTTTTCGTCTTGTTGATTTGGTTTGTGATCTTTCCCGACACGGGACAAAATCCCGTTTTTTAATATGAAAACCATGGAATCTCCTATATTAACGACTACTATGTCATTTTTTCGTACAAAAACTAAAGACGCCGTTGTCCCACTTTCTGTTTCCATTATAACTTCGTTTTGTAATTTTTGAAAGGCCTCAACGATTTTCGGTTTCACGTCATCGCCATTAATCTCATCACTTGTCATAATTTGATCAAGCCGTTGTGCCGCAATCACGGCCGCATCTTCCCCATTATGTCCATCAAAGATCCCAAAATAATCCGTCTCCCCAAACGCTCCCCCTTTAACTATAGCCACGTCTTCCATATAATTTCGTTTCCCAATTGTTAAAGCCACTCCAACACAATTCCGTTTGGATCCGATATAAGTCTCGCCCTTCATGTTATTTCTTTCTCATTTTTTTACTATATATTATAATATATTATAATATAAAATAGTATACTCGAGAGAGTACTATATTTATTAGTTTTATATAGTATATTATTAATTACGAGGAGTAAGAAGAGTTCAACACACTTTAAGTAAGACGTCTTCTTCCCCTTCATCGAAGTTATGACCAGTGTTGACTCTAACTGGGACCCCATTTGGCTTAATTTCATATGAAGAAGTAAGAAGTGGCAAAGTCACGTTCATGACTAAAGGTACCCCCCCGATGAAAATGGGTCGTTCTTGTGCGTAGAAGGAATTCGAATGCTTTTTAATATTGTCGGTCGACCTCACCCGATGATGCGGCTTCCCCGTGGGAACAAAGTTCTCAAGGGGAAGGGAGTGCCGATTTTGAACGGAGGTCACGGAAATTAACACTTTTGGTGTACTTTCTCGGTGAATCATCTTACTAATTCCACTATTTATTATGTATTATATTTTTGTTCAGCCGCCTGTGTTGAACATTATTCAACATGGCATTTCTTTTATATACACCTTCTTTTACAAAAAATAAAAACTTCAGGTGTTTTAAAACCTTCTTTACATACATTTTCAGTAAAGTAAGATATTCAGCAAATAACGAGGATTGAAGATATGAAAGGTAAGAATGTCGATCAAGAAAGGGTTTTCTTGAGAGTATTGTGAATAAATCACTCCAATTGAATAGAACTGGTACACATTAATTATTACTTTGTAGAAATGGTAATATGAAATTGTAATATTGGGTGTTCATCGCTCTCAATGCCGTTATCGTTTATATAAATAGAACTGTATCATTTTACTTGTTTTATATTGTATTAGTATATTTTACTATAATTTTATTATTAGTATGTTTTTTTATATTATTAGTTTGATTTATTTCTTGTATAGAAAACAAATAGTTCAAAAACTAAATTATCTAATAAAAATGTTTAATTAGTATAATATTAATTATAATTTATAATTACAATTTGAGAAATAATTTGTGTTTTTATATAACAAAATTCAAAATTTAGTTTTAATTATTGTCATATAACGAATAAAATGACGTTACGAATTGATTATAGAACAATCAAGTAACAAGAAACTGGTAATAAAATTCAAATGATTAATTTTCAGATTGAGGCATTATTTTAAAATGTTTTTACCCAAAATAGTTTTATTAAATATTACCAATTAATAGTTTAAAATTTATTATAAAAATAGTAATAACATAAAAAAAACAATCACAAAATTTCTTTGATAAGATACTTAAACAGATGGTCATTTTTAATTTTTAATTATAATAAAATTATCTATAGAGTATAGTTATCAATGTTAATATGTTCAACTTTTTATAATAAATTTATCGGAATCTAGTTTATTATCGCATCACATTTTTTCATTGTTTATTTTTCAAAAATAAGCACATATGAGACAATTCAATCAAATAAATCTCCGATAAAAAAGCATTCAAAAAATCACCACTTTATCATAACATAATTCCAATAGTAAAAAGAAACAATATTACTTAAGATTGAAACAAAATGAATCTCCCCAAATAGAAATAGTTTAATTTAACTATACAAATTACTATAATGAACCAAAGGCATACTGACTCTCAAAATAGATTGAGATGTTCCATCACTGTTAAGACTATATAAGTCTTCCTCGTTGCTATCTGATCATTCACTTCACATGGAAAAGATGTTTTGCAACCAATGCGAGCAAACAGCCCGAGGCATCGGCTGTACCATATGTGGAGTTTGTAGTAAAGAAGCCGTTGTAGCCAACACCATGGATGTCTTAATTTACATCCTTCGCCAGAATGCTTTAGTAGCTTTAAAAGCTCGAGAGGAAGGTATCATCGACGAGAAGTATGACATTCTTACTTCCAACCTTCTCTTTTCTACTTTAACGAATGTGAACTTTGATGAGAAGCGTCTAGTCGAATACACAAAAGAAGCTTTACAAGCGCGTCAGACTTTACTTTCTCAGATGAAGCCACAAGCCTCAAAAAAAGAGTTAGAGTCTTCCATTGAGATTGAAGACTGCGAGAAGTACATCAAAGAGAATTTAGACAAAAAGCGCCCAAATCAAATGAATGCCGACAAAGACATTCAAAGTTTGATGCAAGCGGTCTTATTTGGGTTAAAAGGGGTTTGTGCTTATATCTCGCATGCTTATTTATTAGGCGAGAAGAACACTGATATCAACACTTTTATACATCAAGCCTTAGCTGCTGGATATGACAATAAAGAACGTGATTTAAAAGCTTGGATTGACTTAGTGAAAGAGACTGGTAAATGGAATTTCGAGACTTTAAAACTCTTAGATAAGGCCAATTGCACTTTAGGCAATCCAACACCAACTTCCGTCTTATTAGGACATAAGAAAGGAAAGTGCATATTAGTAAGTGGTCATGATCTCTTCGACTTAAAAAACATTTTAGAGCAAACGCAGAACACTGGAATTAATGTGTATACCCACGGTGAAATGTTACCCGCTCATGGATATCCAGAACTCAAAAAGTATTCAAATTTGGTCGGACACTTTGGATCGGCGTGGCAGAACCAACAGCGCGAGTTACTCAATTTCCCTGGGCCGGTGGTCTTCACATCAAATTGCTTAATGAAACCAAGGCCTGAATATGCCGAACACACATACACGACAAATGAAGTTGGGTATGCGGGGTTGAATCATATTGGATCAAATAAGGACTTTAAAGTAGTCATAGAGAAAGCGCTTGCTATGGAAGGTTTTCAAGATGATAAGAAAGACGGCGAAGTGTTAACTGGATTTGGTCATCATGCCTTACTTGAGACTGAAATTACAGAGAAGTTAGTCTCTTATATTAAGACGGGGAAGATCAAAGGAATTTATGTTGTTGGAGGGTGTGATGGAGTCCGTAAAGAGCGTAATTACTATACAGAAATAGCTCGGAAAATACCAAAGGATTCTATTATCTTGACTTGTGGTTGTGGGAAGTATAAGTTCTTTAAAGAGGATTTGGGAGAGATCGATGGGATCCCAAGATACATCGACTGCGGACAATGCAACGACTCATATACTCCCTTTGTCGTCGCTTTGAAACTCGCTGAAATCTTTAAATGTGGTGTTAATGAACTTCCTCTTCATATCTATTTGTCGTGGTATGAACAAAAGGCGGTCTGCATTTTACTCACCGTCATCTACTTGGGTCTCAAAAACGTGTTCTACGGCCCTACTAAACCAGCTTTCTTGTCGGAAAACATCTGCAAGTACTTGAAGGACGAAATTAACTTGACTATTAACTCCACCCCAGACAAAGATCTCAAATTTTAAGCCCACTTTTTGAGTTCTATTTTGAGGTTTTCTTGTATAGTAAAGAGTAAATACTATTAACTATTTTAATAGTATATTAAAATGGTAAATACTATTTACTATTTTAATTATATAGAGTTAAAAATAAAAAATAGTTTTAATTGTTTTTAAATAGAATGATGAATAATATGGTATAGTATTAATACTATATATCATAGAATTAATATAAATTATAGTTTCGTATAATTACTGAATGGTATATTTAAAGGCAGTGTATGGATGGGAGAAGTGATACCCAAGTTTTTCAGCTACTTTGAGCGATACCACGTTGTCTGCGTCCCAAGAAGGGTACATCCCAAGGTCTAAGCACTCTAAAATAGTCCTTGCACTACACACAGTTGCGAGACCTTGCTGGCGATAATTGATGTTTGTGTCAACTTCTATTTCAATTCCTTTGTTGTAATATGTAAAGGTTGAACAACCTGAAATAATAACTTCTCGTTCCGCCAGTTCAAGATTTGTGGAATGAGAAGTCTTGAGGATTACATACCCAACACCATGACTTTTGAATTCAGAATAATCGCTGAAATTTCCAACAAGATCTTCACTCCATTTTTCAAATAAACATTGTTGAAAAATCGTTTCGTCAATTCGACGAAGACAAAACGAGGGTGAAAGTGATGAAACTATTTTTCGTAATTTGTCTTTGTCAAATTGGGTGTCTTTATGTGTTGCAAATCGCTGGTAACGAATAACATTTTTGGAATAACATTTCTCGACTAGTTTCGCCCACTCTTCGTTTTGTGGAATTAAAATCACTTCCTTTCTCGTTTCGTCATTTTTGTGTTTTTCCAAAATCTCGAGATTAGGAACTCCCGCCAAAAAAGAAAGACAACTGATAACAGCAATGGCCGTTTTTGGATTTGGGATCTTGTCAACACAGATGTGTCCCATTGTCCCTTCCAAACAACTCCATATTGGTGTTTCGTCCCAGTTATTGAAGAGGTTTCGAGTTATATCTCGGTTTTTATTAAGTGTTATCATTACTATTATTAAGTTTTGTAATAAAATAAATGTTTACTTATTATTAACAAGTAAACTATTAAATTTAATTATTTATTCATATTAAAAATATAATATAATCATAATTTGTTGAATTGTTTTTCAATCTCACTTCATTATGACAGAAATGATGGAACGAATCAATTGAAAAGCGTGGATTATAGAATAAAGCCTGCAGAGCTTACAACTGGATATTGACAAATCCATGGTCTTTGTCTTCATCAAACTTGATTGAGCTGTCGTTGCAGTACTTAACAACGGCTTCTTTGATTTTAGAAAACCCAACCGTGTTATGATGACCCATACCACATTGGACCTTCAAAATCTTCTTTCCTGCGTTCTTGGCTTTATCGATCTCCTCCTTAAGAATGTCAATTGAGTTTTCAATCTTTAACCCATGCATATCGATGGCGTCTGGTTCGTTCATATAAACGTTGACCTCCTCGAAAATCTTTTTATTTGCATCTTTTTGCATTTCGTTTGCTTCTTTGATTGCTTTGTCATACTTCTCAAAAGCTTCGGACTTGTTTGGAGCATTTTCCTCTTTTGCTTTGACGTAGACGTCCTTCAAAGCATACGCTTCGTTGAATTTTTTGTCGACTGGGCCAAAGTGTGATTGTTGGATGCGGTCGATCAGAATGCTTTTATCGCCAGAGACAACCTCCTTCTTTCCATTTGGTCTGTCTTCAATGACTGGTTCATCGCCTTTAGGCTTTGGGACATGAGTTCCTTCTTTTGGTTCACTTTTCTTCGCTTCGACTTTCTTTTCCTCTTTTTTGGTTTCTGGTTTTGCTTCTTTTTTCGGAGCAGTCACTTCGTCGGTCTTTGGATGCGACTTCTGTTTGGCTTGTTGTTCATCAACAAATTTCTTAGCCTTCTCAAGAAGTGCCATTACCTTCTTATAGAAAATCGATTGATCAATTGGGAAAGTAAGCTCTTTCGCATAGAACAAATATCCAACGTATGCAAGGAGTGCTAGAAAAACAATTAAAAGAAAGCCCATTGAGGAATTGTATTATTGAGATCGTTTATATAGTGGAAATGGTTCTTTTTATTGTTTTAATTATAACTCTACTTTTTCAGGTGGCAATTCCGTTTTTTTAAAAGTAGTATGAAACATTGTACTAATTTTGATAGAATTTTTATTGGATTTATTATTGACTGGTTTCATTTGTCGATTTTTGTCCATTTAGTAAGTTGTAACTAAAAAGGCAATTTTTAGCTTATTTTATTATATTTTGATAATTTATATCTAAAAATAATATTATTTTATTTATAATTTAGTTACAAACTATATATATTTTTTTATTATAGTAAATAGTTTAATAATAATTTATCAACATAAAGTATTTTTAGTATTTTCAATTGGTTGTTTTTTAATTTACAGAACTACATAAATTAGTTCAAATTTAATAACTTATCAAAAATATAATAGTTAAAATTATTAAAAAATGTAAAAAAGGTATTTATTATTGTTTTTAATAACATAGTTAATTAATTAAATTAAAAAAAAAATGATAGTAAAATATTGGTTTTAAAAACTAAAATAGATTATTATTTGAAATAATAAATAGATAAAATAATTTTAATAACAAATAGTAAATCAATTTTGAAATTATGTTTTTTAAACAACACAGAACAAAAAATAACAGTCAAGGAGTAACAAGAAAATGAATAGAGAACAGTGAATGAGTTGGGTCTAAAAGTCGAAAGGGTTTGGTTCGTCTGTCCCAGGAATACAGAAGTCGTCGACGAGTGGCGATGTGGTCCGTCTTTCGTATTGGCTGAATTTCAAATCCACAACAACGACAGAGATGTTGTCCTTACTTTTTTGTTTGAACGCCTCGTTTCGAATGGATGAAGCTGCAATAGACATTGAAGGGCTTCTTCGGATCAATTTTTCCATCTCTTCAATGCTTTTTGTTATTTCGTTTTGACCTTCACTTGTTGTGCTTAAAAACTTGTTCGTTCCAAACTTCTCAATCCAAATCACTCACAAAAGAGATGGCAGAACGATCAAACACTTCAGCACAAAAAATAGAGATAAAAGAGAAACAAACTCAACAGTATCGACTCCATCTGTTGTGATCACAATGTGGCTGTAACCCTTCTTCACATTGATGGAAACAATCTCGGGCTCAAATGTGAGTGGTGGGTGGAGGTTTCTATCACCAAGTGTTCGGGTCACGTTGATGACACCATTCACCCGTCTCACACCGCTTGCCTCCTCGATCCGCCCGCCATTTGCGACAATTCGCTTCTCTTCCATCGCCATGCCACACCGATGCGGGTTTGTGATTCGTGTGATGCCATCTTTACCCAACAAAAAGACGGAACAGTCGCCCACAAAGCCGACTTTCACTGTGTCTTGTCCAAGGTAAAGGACTGTACCTGTTGTGCCGCTGTCGGTTTCGGTGGCTATCTTTTTATGGAGATGGCAGAACAGGTCGATAAAATGCACGTCATCAAGTAACATGTAATTTCTGACTGAAGAACCCAAGAGCGTGGCGGCTTGTTTCGCCGCTTGGTCGCCATTGTGGCCATCAAAGACGCCGATGACGTCTTTGTTCCGTTCCAAGTGGCAGCTGCAGACATAGTCTTCCATATACTGGCGAAGACCGCGCGTCTGTGCAACACCGACGGAAAATCTCGGGAGAGGTGCAAAGAGATCCTGTTTTGTGAATTTTTCTATTTCAATGTTTTCAAAAAGTGAGAAAATAAACCGATTCTTTAAATCAAACAAATTTTCGTTGATTTAATTGTATCATTTCTCTATAGTTTCATAATGGAAATTTAGTAAAATTATATAGTTCAACAACTTGTATGTCGAAATATGAACAAAACAAACAATAATTCCATCAACAGGGCCGTCTTTCTGAACGTTGCCGTCGGGTGTGAGTTGGATCTCCCAACTGTCTCCCGGCAACCCGATGTCGGAGCCAGACTGGACGCATCGGAGTGTTGAAGTGAACGTTGGGGGAGTTCCTCTGTACATTGCAGGTTTTCGTGCGCGTGGTGAGCCGCTGTATGCCATTCGTGGTGCACAGCTGTCAAGTGGCGTTGAAAGGAAGTCGCTGATCATATGCCACAATATGAGTTTCGAGTGAAAGTTTTACGAAAATTGGAGTGAAACGGTTTTGAGGAAAACAAGTGAAAAGAGGAAAAAAGAAAACAAAACAGTATTCCCGACTATTTGGTCAATTAAGTAGAACATTTCATCAAGTCAAGTGATTTGATTTTTAATAAAATAATTAACAAAAATAAGACCAGTTGTTTTGATTTTCTAAAAAAAGTTTATGATTTCAAAAAATGTTATATAAAATGTTATTTATTTTGTTATAAATTACAACTTATAATATAAACAAAATAAATAATAAATAATGTAAAACCATTAAAACTACAAAATATAGTAATTATAGTATTAATGACAGATGAGGAGTACAAGATGATGCTTTGTGTTCGGACAGATATTTCAATGAGTGAAGGAAAGAAATGTGCGCAATGTGGACACGCAGCTGTGTGTTGTTATGAATTAGTACTCCAACAAAACCCGACCGTTATTGAAGAGTGGAAGAAAGGTGGAATGAAGAAGGTAGCTGTTCGTGTCGAGAGTTTATTTGAGTGGGAAAATGCAGTGAAAACATGTCAAGAATTTGGTATAGTGTATTCGGAGATTGTTGATGCCGGGCGGACTGAGGTGAGTCCTAACACAAAAACTGTTTTAGGAATTGGACCGGCTCCATCCTTTTTAATAGATGTCGTCACTCGACAGTTTCGATTGCTTTAATTTAATCAATTTAATTTATCAAAACCATATATATAGTAAATAATTTTAGTATAAATATTAATGCATAATAGTTTTTATAAATTGTTTTTTTTTATTATTTAATAGTTGGATTATTATTATTACTAAAAACAATAATTTTTTTTGTAATAATTTTTAATTTATGTAAATTCGAGAAAAAATTTTGAAATTTTAATTTCAAATTTTTTTATTTTGAATAATTTATTAACTTCTTCTAATTGTGGACGCTGCTCAATTTAGTCTTTTCTTGTGTAAAACAATCAAAATTAATTAATTTATTGTTTATTAACCACAAAATTACTATTAAATCATTTTTCATTTCAAATGGATTAATTAATTACAATAAACTTAATCACAGAGATTTTTACACCACTCTCAAATATTAGTTAAATTAATTAATAACACAATAGTAAAAAACTGAAACATTCTTTTTATTGTGATTTTTCAAATAACAATTGTTAAGCGGACGTTTAAGTAATTATTTATTGAGATTGTGTTGTGTGGAATGATAGTAACGAAATCGATAACAAAATTTAAGAAACAATTTACAATTCATGCGTGTTGAGTCGAGCATTTGCTGGCTTTGAAGTTTGTTTGAGTTGTTGGTCTTCATAGAAAAGGAGCATAGTCTCATATCTGTCTTCTTCTGAGATGAAAGTGAGAGGTTCAACTAGTACTTGCGACCGACTTGCACTTTTAGTTCTTCTCATCTCGCGCAGTGTATTGAGATCTTCGAGTTTATCGAAGATGTCTTCTTCCTTCAATGATTTAATAGTTGAGTTAGGTAAGAGTGTTGGACTTAAAGAGTTCACAACAGGCATTTCGCAATTTCTTGAATGTGGTCTAATGACGCAGACGGCGCTTTTTCTCATGTTAATTTGAATAAAATTTTAGTTGTATGAGTTTAAATAGTCTTCAGTTATTTGAAGTCCAATCATACTCTTTGAGATGTTTTGTGTGTATTTATTAATAACTTATTATAACGCCTTAAATCCATCACTTCAAAAAAACATTGAAGAAAAACTCAGAGCGTTTTATCTCATTTGGTGTCCACTTTTCTATTAATTATATGAATTAATTATATTTACTATAGTTATAGTTCAGTTTAAGAAGAACAGTGGTGTGGTGGTACAACACCATCGGTCGTGCTTTCAAAGACTCAGAAATGGAGAAATAACCCCCAAAACGCGAATTTAAAAGATGAAAAAATCTAAAAACAGTAGACTTAGAAATTACTTTGTGCGAAATGTTTCGCAAAACAAAATTGTAATATCGGGAAAACTCCCTTTGTGTAACTTTGATTGTTGATTTGATGTTTATGTGGGTTTTATTTCAATTTCTCTGCACCTTTAAAATCACAAGTGGTAAGGGGTAATTCCTCTGTTTTTTGTGTGACGGTAAGATTTGTCATTACGTCTACAATTGCCAAATAAACGGGAAAATTGGTTAAAACATTTTGAAGTGAAATAACAAAATTTCAATTATAAAAAAATGTTTTTCTCGTTTGTCTAAAATTAAAAATCTCCCTTCATTCCGACCTTCAAAATAAAGTCGGCAACTTTTCCCGAAAATTAATGTAAAAGAAACTGCAATTTAAACGTATAATATTTGACTCAATTAAAAAAAATCTATAAAAAATGTGGAAGTAATGTTCACTTTTATTTTTTTTGTGTTCTTTATTAATGGTTACTTTTATTAAAATAAATAGAAAAAAAAGGGTTGATTTTTTTTTTATGAAAAACCCTTTTTTCTGATTTTGAATTGAAGAGAAAAGAAAAATAACTAATAAAAGCCTATAAATAGGTTTTTATTAATTATTAATTAATTAAAACTTGGAGTAATTAATAATTGCTTTATAGTTTTGTTGTGAACATTTGTGAAGAAATTTCAAGTTTTCTTTGGGGTCATTTCAAAATTCCATTGAAGAATGCAATTGTGGTTTGGATGTTTAACAATAAGTTCGAGTTTATTCAAATGTTGATTAAACTTTAAAATGTAATTATATATATTATTAAATATAATTTATTTGATTTGTAAAAACGAACATACAGTGGTTCATGTTGTGGGCGTTATAGAATTATGTCTTATTGAAAAAAATACTCGAACTATCAATTTATTAATTAAATCAATTAATTTAATTAATTAATCAAAAAATCCAAGTATATAGTATAATTATAGAAAAACATTAACAAAAAATATTTAAAAATGAAAAAAAAGTTTTCTACCACCTAAATTGTAAATTTTCCAAACTACAAAAATATAATACAACTGATTTAACAGAAAGTGGTTCCTGGTTCTGAATAAAATTCACTTTATCGTAAATATTCTGAAGCTCATCCTTTTCGAGCTCTTTTGTAATTTATATTATGATTTAAACTGTATCTTCATCACATCATCATATTTTCGAATTTGTTTGTTCTTTAGTTTAATTATTTGTTATTCGTATATTAATATAGATATAACTTAATAATAGTTATAACATATTTCTTTATTATCGATCGAAATTTATTATTTTCATGACTTTATTAAATATAATAATAATAATAACCATCAATAATATATGATTTGATTATAATTAATTATAATTAAAAATATTATTATTTATTAAAAAATATTTAACTAATAGATTTACTAATATTTAATTAATATAAAGTATTGTACGTTTATAATACAATATTAAAATTTAACTATTTAAAAATTATATGATTTTTTATTTCAGTTGTTAAATTTTTTTATCTAATCACAAATTAGATTATTTATTAAATTTAAATGTTATGTTTTATAACAAGCCATATATAATATTTATATAGTATAACAAACCATTAATTATAGTACATAGAATAAAAAAAAGAAAACAAAAGCAATGAATGACAAAGAATGGAAAACAGCTATACAACCCTTTGTGCTTTTGTGTATTCATCATATGTAAGTCTAAGTGAGTAATTAAATTGATCTCTCTGTGATTGGTTTTCAAGTGTAATAATTTGTGATTTTTTCTTTTTCTCGTCATAAAAGAAAATGTCATTCTCGGACAATGCTGGTGGTAAATAAATAACAATTTATAATAAATAAACTATCAAATAAACAAAAAATGAGAGAAGATTGTGTTGGCGGAATGAAAAAACAGATAAGCGGTAAAATTGTTGTAATTAAACCAATAAAAAAACAAACAATTCTCCTCCTTTTTCGACAACTCGTGGAAGATTGTGCCGATCGGGTAAAACTCAAAGACTGTCTTCTTGACATCGTTACGGAGAATACCGTCTTTGAAAATGAACAGGTCGATTTTGTTGTTGCCTATGGCGGCACCTTTGGTACCCGCGTGATATGCGACGAACCTGTCGGGTGTTGTGAAGTATTTGTAGACTGTATTTGTAGCGATCACGGGCTTGTTGCTCTTGTATATTTGGTCGAGGTACTCGTAGCGCTTGACGTAGAAAAATTTTGATTTGAAAATCAACTCGTTGATTGAAGTGTTCATATCTTTGTAAGACACGATTGTTGCACTGAGAACTTTATGGAGCTTGCTCTCCTTTTGCACATCTTTCAAAATAGTCGAAAGAAGTAACTCGTACCTGCAAATACGCTGTGTTGGTGCAAAGTACAAATCCGCGAATTGTCGGATGTTTTGGTCGATACAGTTCTCGAGACGGGCGTTCACCATCTTCCTCAACTTGTTTGTGCCTTCGATGAAGTCATTGATCGTCGAGGAGAGCGACGTGTAATGTGCTACAAATGGTAGGAATGTGTTTGACAAATTAATAGTCCCTAACCCATTGACAAAACTGTAGTACTTCAAAACAACTGAAAGAACAACTTCTTCCAATTTTTCGGTCGACTCCTTCGTGGGATTTTTCTCGTCACCTTTCTTTTTCGTTGTCTCTTCACCAAAGTCCAACAATTCGTAGTAGAGCGGCTCAAGCTCAAGACACATCCCACTGATGGACCCAACCAACCCATCTAGTGGCTCAAAGAGCAAATAGTCCTGGTGCTTCAAAAGAGCCATCTCATTTCGGATATACACTTCAAAATGCTTTTGGAAGATTTGGAGCCGTGCGCAGAACATGAATTCGGTGAATACCAACTCGGCGGTGTGCATCATAATGTCGCTGCCAGTTATCTTCTTCCCATCGCGATTTTTTGGCACAAATTTGATCTTTGTCTCGGGGTCGTCGTCGGTGATAAAACTCTCGTACTTTCTTAAAAAGTCGTTTTGTGCTATTTCCGGTGCTTTTGGTGTTTCCTCGAGTTCGCACCCGCGTGCTGACATCGACATTTTTTCATTTTTGTTTTCTTTGTCGTTTTTAGAATTCTCTTCTAACGAGTCTGAGTGAGGAGAAACCGATTCAAATGACGCCATCCGCGGTGTTGACGTTTTTTTGAAAAACGACGAACCCTTTATTTCAGAAGCTTCTTTCATCGATTGTTGATGTTTCTCCGAACGCGAGTTGGGCGTTTTGGGGGAATACATTCCAGATGTCGAACCCACAGACGCGCGCTGTTGTTGAGAAATATACTTTGTCATATTCAAGGAGGAGTGTGCTGGTGTGGGGGACTGTCCTTTAATACCGTTTTCGCTGTTATCAGATTTTGGCGATATTGGGTCTGGGAATTCACGAGAAGAGACTTTGGAAGAGGAGCTGCTGAGTTGTATCGATTTCACCTTTTTGATTTTGGATATCTTCACATTCTCAGGGCTTTCGCTCTTCTTTACGGGTTTGTCGTGTGTTTCTTGGGTGTCCACCTTTGTTGGAGTAGTTGGCAAGTCGATATCAAAACTCTTTGAAGCCGCAGTGGGAACGTCCGAGTATTTTCTTTGAGAAAAAGGAATTGGTTTAGGTTTGATTTCTGCTGGTTTTTGCTCTGGTTTAGTTGCTCTGTGAATTGGGAGTTGCGGCAAAATTTTAGGAGGAGGTGGAGCTGGTTGTGTGCGTGGTTTAACTCCTGGAGGGAGAGAGGGGAGAGGAGCGATTGGTTGATCTTTCTGAGATTGTTGAGGCTTAAGTGATTGAGAGCTGTGAAGAGAATTTTTGATCGGTTCAGACTTTTGTAAGGGAGTCTTTTTTGTAGGTATTGGTTGAGGTTCTGGTCTTTGTGGAGTTGAAGGTATTGATGGAGTTTTTTGAATTGGTTTTGTGTCTTGCGATTTTGATAAGACAACAGGAGTTGATGGGACGACCTTTTGTTTTGGTGGTTTTGGGAGTGGAGCAACGGATGTTGCTGATTTTTGAGGAAGGTTATAAATTGCAGACATTTGCAGTCCAAGTTTGAATTACCAATTTTTCAGTGTCGAAAAAGAAGAAAATTAGTGGGTATACTCTATACTATTGTATATAGTATATTTTCTAATATCTTTGTGTATTCAAACAAACGAAAGGGATACATTAGTTTATTGTATTATAAATTCTAGTTTCAATCAAAACTCGTTTTTTTCATACAACATTTAAGTTTCTTTGTTCGATACATTCCCGTGGTGATAAGTGATAATCGTGGAACACAGACACTTTTTTAGCAAGACCAAACCTTTGAATTAAAAAATGAATCGACCATCTTTAGGTTGTCAAATCATTTATGAACTTCGTGTTTTAAAGAGTGACTTTTGGACAATAAAAAGGCAAAAAATTGATTGGAGTAAAAAGAGTGAATGACAGAATGAACAGATGGTAAACATTATTTACTATCTGTTTTAACGGAGATTTCAGACTTATTATAACAAATAATTCATTTCAAGAAAAAGTAGAGGAGATCTTGAATTGTATCATTTTTTAGTCTGCTTGTATTAAACAAATTCGGGATCACCGCACATAGTTTTATATAATATTGTATGGTATATAACAAATGCTATATTTATAATTTAAGTAAGCTAATTTGAACCAGCTGAGATCAATCAGTTTCTTGCTTGAAAGTATTTAAAGACTCAATTTTATATATAATAAACTATAAATAGTAACTTATACTTAAAATAGAACTTTATTAGTACATTGAAACCATAACAAACTAATGACTTGAAAGGAAAAACAGAAGGAATCAACTTGGAAATCACACGATGTTTCAAGCCGAAAATGAGAGTTCATTACAAGCAGATTACAATCCAAAACGATCAAAACTTGTTATAAAAGAAGAGTCAACTGAATTATTAATACCAATGACACAAGCACAGTTACAAATTGCTTGTGAACATAAGTTTGTGAGACATATCGACATAAATATAATTCATTCAGCAAGATCTGACTGAGAAGCAAAGTAGTTGAAGCGGAAAAGATACTCGACGAACATCCCGAATTACTTTCTAAGGAAGACATCAAAGGAAATACCCCACTCATGACAGCTATTAAAAATAACGCTAAAGAGATGGTCTTGCTGTTACTAAGTTGTGGCGAGTGCAGGTTGGACCACATCAACATTTTTGGAGAAAACATATTACACTTCTTAACATTTGCAACAGTAACAAAAGAGGATGAGATGATGCATTTACTTGCGAAGAAATTGTTGGAGGAGTACCCATTTTTCATTAATTATAAGAACAAGGGTGGAGAAACTCCACTCCACCTTGCTGTGCAAAATAACAACGTTGAAATCGCAAAAATGCTCATTGGAAAAGGAGCAAAGAAAGAGGAGAGGAATGTGTGTGGATATACTCCTGTTGATTACGCTGTGTTTTATCAACGAGATGAAATTGTGGAGTTGCTTAAAGATGGTCCGGTTGTGGAAGTCGTGAAAGAAACGGAGGAGAAGAAAGAAGTGAAAGTTGAGACAAAAGACTTAAAAGAAACTGAGTTGAAGACACCCCAACCAAACCAATCCTCTGAAAAACAAGAGACATCGTTTTTTAATCTGTTCAAACGTAAAGAGAACCACAGTGTATCACCACAAATGAACTACAGAAAGATGGTGTCTTCACTTGTCTTAGACCCCGTTATCACCTCAACAACACTCGACTCTTTCAACGCCAAAAAGAAGTTCCGAATGATTTCAATTGATGGTGGAGGATCGAAGTGTATATTACAGTCATTGATTTTAGCAAGACTGGTGAAAAAGTTTCCCGAGTTAATCGAGTCGACCAATTTGTTCTGTGGAGTCTCTGCAGGAAGTTTTGTGTGTGCAGATTTGGCAATGGGTATCCGCCCTGCGGATGTTGCACAGCTGATGATTGAAATGAGCAAACACATGTTTCAAAAGAAGTCGCGTGGGTATACAGAGGCGTTGTATTCCAACGAGTACATTATTGATGTGGCTCATGCGACTTTTGGTGATAAAAAGCTGAGTGATTTAAAACGAGGTGTTCTTGTCAACTCGTTTCAGTTTGACACGGGGAAGAACGACCCCAAACGAAGTTGCAAAGCATGTGTATTCAACAACTTTATTCCAGGATATGATTGTAAGATTGCAGACGCGACTTTAAGGTCATCTGCCGCTGTTGGATACTTCCCACCATACGATGGAGGATACGCCGATGGAGGTATTTTTGAGAACAACCCTTCTGTGTGTGCATTTCCATTTGTGTTTGGTGAGAGAGGACTTGGCATTGAAATGAAGAATACAGTGTGCTTGTCATTATCCTCGGGAAGACCCCCAGTGTCATACATTGACTCCGATAAATACACAGACGTGGGGATGTTACAGTTGTTACCCATTTGTATGGATGGATTCTTTTTGAGCAGGGTTTGTTTGTTGTAATTGTCCTTTCTGGTGTCTTAAAAGAAACGAAATAACATCATAGAAAGCAATGGCGGACGTCACCGGGAACGGATTTTTGGGTGAGAGGTACTTCCGATTCGACCCGGTTTTATTTGAAAATTTGGACTTGGACTGCGCAGATGCAGTCCCGAAAATAATCCAAATTGGAGAGACGGTCGACCTCGCACCAATAGAAGATTGGATTGTCAAATATTGGTTATAGTCGTAACACATTGTGTTTCACATTTTTGTCGCATTTCAATCATTTCGTTCCACCATTTTAATCAGATTGAGAGAATGATGAATTAATTAAATAGTATTAATTACGGAAACTATATAACATAAACTATATAGATTAATATATTAATAATATGATATAATAATATGATAATAAAAATAAAAAAATAATTTTGAAAAAAGAAAATCAAACGAATTGTTCGGAATGAAACCGACTAATATGGTTGTGTGTGTTGAAAAAGCGATGAATGAGATTAAACAAGAAATGGGAGATTTAAAGAATGAATTTGATGAGTCGAACAAACCATTAAAAGAATTATTAAAAACTATTACGATACTATTGCCAAAAGAAATGAACACCCCGAAATCAATCTCAACAACAGACATCAAAGAAATCATTAACTCGTATTCGTGTACTAAAAAATATAACACGTTTTTGTCGAACCGTTTTGAATTACTTAAATTTGAAGCGAAAAAAGTTGGCCATTTTTATTCACAAATTTTTGTTGTTCAATTTATTGACAAAACTTTTTCTCTGCCAACCGAAACGGCAAAACGTCTCTTCAAAGATTTTGATTATAAAAACGAAAAAGTTTTAGTCAAAAAATTAGATTTTGATTCAACAGGATTTCCTTATGTTTTGAAACAGCTGAGAAATGAGTCTTTTGTTATTAGTCCTGAACTATTAAAACCTACAACATGTATGTTTAACTTTTTCAACATTCCAATCTCGCAAAGAATTGATTTGTTGACAACAAAAATCATCACATCACCTTGTGATTGTCGGGTGGAACGGAAAACTTCATTTATCAAAATTTACAACCCGACACAGTATGACGGTACAGTTACTTTTGAGGAATTAATAAAAAGTTTTATTTTCAGTTCCAATGCTATGGGATTGTTTTTGGGTGTTGGAGAGTCACTGAACAATTGTGTAAACGTCGACACAAACAACTCTTGTTTATCCAATGAAGACAACGAATTGAAAGAACTTAAAATACAAAAAGGAATGAAAACTCAAATCATATTGAATGATCAAAAAGTTTCAGTGTTGCAAAACGGTAAAGTTTTGGCTTCGATTAGAACAAGGTTGACATGTGGTAACATCTTTGTTTCATTTGGTAAAGGAAATGATGTGGTAATGTATGAACTAATAAATTAATTTGTTTTACTAGTAGTTTAGTTTAGTACATTATTTCAAATGGTATAAATTTTATTAATATTGGAATTAATAAATTTTTACTATTTTTTAAACGGCACAGTTTTTACTAGAAAATAATTTATTTTACTATAATTATAACAAAATAATAGAATTTTGAACAATTCAGTTACTTTTATTATTTTAATTAAATCATTTTCAGATATATTTAAATTATCGATTGAAATTAATAATATATAGTAAATGTCTTGGAATGACAACTTGTGATTGAAAGTGTGGAACGAAAGTTTATTTGAGCCGAGAGAATTCGTGTACATTTTCGAGAGATATGGAAAAAGACTTTCTTGAACGAAGGCAAAGGTCTAAGGAATTCTTAAAATACATGAATGAGGAGTTCCGAAAGGAACTCGAGAACGAAATTGAAAAGCCTGAATGGAAAAAACTGAAAGGAATGTTTGATGGGAAGGAATACAAATTCAATGGGAACGAAGTTGTTGAGGAGATATTGCACCTACCACGTTTGTCTGTATAATAAATACTATTGGCAATTAACTGAAAGGAGTGGGACGACTCGATGTGGTAGTACAAATAAGTCACGTTTGCGTGAATAAAGAGTGCCTGAAAGGCACACAATTTCGTGCGACTGAATTTGCTGGAAAAGTTATCAAAGTGGGTCGCGATGTATCGAGTTGCAGAGTTGACAATTTTGTTATTGGAAGAGATTTGGCACAAAACTGCTTCAAAGAAATTGTTGTTACCAATTTCGAAAACATCCAAAGAGAGGAAAAACACTCGCCAAATGACTTGATAAACACATTGGGGAATATGAGCACTGCTGTGTTGCCATATGAAACATTACAATACGTTACGGTCCGTCCATCGGATAACGTTTTAATTTTAGGCACTGGCGTTGTTGCCCAGAAGTTGTACGAAATGTTGGACGACAAACATATTCGCTCGTTTATCGTTGTTCCTGATAAAATGGTCCGTAAGTACACTACAATGGGATACAATGCCGTTTCAATCCAGGTTGTGGACGAGGTGTTTGTCGACAAAGCAGATGTGATCTTTGACATGAGCAATAAATTTGAAGTGTTGGATAACATCAGGACGTCAACTACTTACATTTATTTAAACTGTGACAACCCACTTGGCGATCATTTGAGGGAAAACGAAACACGTGTACTATCAGACGTTAAAGGACATGCAACTTTCATGTCGGTCAAATGCCCATCAAACAGTGAAGCGTTTTTCAAAAGCCACAACAAAGCTAAGTATCTCCTGAGACCGCACATCCACTCGGTTGTCAACATAGTTGATAAGAAGCTTGTTCTTGAAGTTCTCATAGCGCAGCAACAAGAGGATGAGACGGTTATTATTTGTTTGTGATGTTTAAATATTCAAAATATATATTATGTTTGTTATGATTTGTAATTTTCGATTTAACCAATTTTCTTTTCGAGTTATTTGACAACTTATTTTATAAATGCTTGAAAACGAGATTCAATTTCAGCTATTGATTTGATTTATAAGAATAATTAAACTATTTTTTAAAAATAACGTTTTTTATAATATTTTAATGTTGTGTTTCTTCTATATTTTCGTTATAATTTTTTAATTTTTAATAAAAATCACACCTAAATTTATTTATTTTTTAGAAATATATCTTATGTAGGAAGTCAGTCTTCTGTCCTCCCATTAAAATGATAAAAAAAACTAATATTAAATTAAAGCACTAATTTATAATGATATTTTTACAAAATATGTGTTTTATTAAAATTTAAATTATTAAAAATTATATATAATAATACAACAAACTAATTTTTATAATCTAAAAGATTTCATATAATAAAAATACTATTTATTTTAATATTATTATAATAAAAATGATTATTTATATTAGATAATAATAGTTAATTATATTGATTTAATATGGTTTCAGAATATTAGTTTTAGTTAATAAAAAAGAAAATCTTTTAATTGGAGATTTGTTTTATTTATGAAACTATACTATATTAATATACTTATGATTACCGATTTTATTTTTGTCTGTGTTAATACAAAGACCTGAAGATTTCAGATAGCCGTTAGTCAATCTCAAATCTGGAACGATCAAATTTCTAATAAAATAACAACAATTTGAAAACAAACTTCACAATTCGGGATACGTTTTTCTAAAAATACGACGCCATGATTTTATTTTCAAAGCCAAAAAAATGTACCAGCGATTAATAGTACATTTATTTCGAGTACTAGTAAAAAAGTATATTTACATCTTCACCAAAAAATCCATAATTTCTATCAAGAAAATGATTTGAGTCTCCAACTACAAATATTTTTCAAATCAATTATTGATGTCCCTTTCACCCTCAACTGGCCCCGGTTCTCCATACTCTTCATATTCCACATCCCCCCGTTCTCAGTCTCCTTCTCTCAAGAAAGTTCGGAAGCAATACACTTTAACACGACGTCGTGAGATTTGGACGGACGAAGAGCATTCAAAGTTCGTTGAAGGGTTATCTTTATATCACAAAGATTGGCGTCGTATTCAACAACACGTGGCGACAAAAACGGTCGTTCAAGTCAGAAGTCACGCTCAAAAGTATTTTATGAAGCTTAACCAAAACGCTCCACCTCAAACAACTTTCTTGGACGTCCCTAAACTCAATTTCCTCGACGAAAAACAAGATAAATTCTCGCCAATCGGAAGGTCTAACAGTTGCCCATCTTCCCCAAGAGCTCTCTCCCTTCTCGACAGATCACCTTCGGCTTTTTCCCCAATACAAAACTCCGCAAATTACGTCCAAATCGACGGGTTTCAACGTTTGTTTTTACTGTACTATTCATTATAGTTTTAATTGGTTGAGTATGGTACAGTTTTAACACTTAGAGCAAAAACAGTTCCAGCCGTTTGCCGTGCCACCCTGTCAAACAAACTCATTCACTTTATATTAGGGGATGGCTTTTGTACCTTCTTTAATGGCGATGGGAAGGTGATGTGATAATAGACTTGTTTTTCAGTGTTTTGTCTACATCAAAACATTAACAAGAACAAAAGGAGCAACTTTAGACGAACTCTTCATTCGAGCAAAAATACTCTTATTTAAACTAAAAATAAACTATATATTTTAACTTGAGTGATATAGTTTTAAATAATAATTAAAACCTAGTTTTATTTTTAATCAAAAAGTGTAAACTTCTGCTATTTTTATTATAATAGCAGAAGAACTTAAAAATCAAAGTATTACAAACAAAACGAGTTGGGGAGAATCGTAGTCAGTCAACGGGAGAGTTTTCGACTGCGATTCTATAGGAAGTGCTGTCTGTTTCATTGCAGAAACAATTCTTTTTTTCTTCAAAAAAATACTTCTTTGCGCCAATTACAAACATCGACGAGATGACATCCTCAACGAAAATTGAACAGCGCTCATTGTTGGATAAGAGACACTCTGCGATGAATACGTCGAAGGCCGCCTCAGAGATTTTAAGAAAGACTGAAACCTCCTTCTTTGAGTCATAAACAAAGTCGCGGAGCAACTTTAAATCGCTTGTGGAGTAATTCCCAAACTCCGTTACAACCAACTTGCTTATGCGCTCATTCAATGCTCCGGACGAATAGAATTGAAGCTGTTTAAAAAGCAGAGTCTGTGGAGATCTGTATCGGTAAATCCGTGAAGTCTGTAACAGCGCTGTGTATTCTTGATGAAGTTTGCAAGTGTTAGGTGCCATCAATTTTTACCTTTTTATGTTCTCTCTTTTAACATTTTTCAATCATGTTTGTGATTTGACAAACTATATAATAATCATTAATAATGTTGAATTACTACAAGGCAAAACATTTCTGTGAGGTTTTTATAGCTTATGTATAGTTTTTGTTTGGTTTTATTCTAGTTTAGACTTTGACGTTTGTATTTTTTATTTTTTATTTTTTTAATATTTTTTATATTTTGACATTAATAAATTATAAATTATGGTACAGATTATTAGAATTTTGACTGCTTTTAATTTGGAAAGATTTCTATTTGGTAAAAACAAAATGATTTTGATTTTATATACCAATCAAAAAAAAAAA